CTCACCAGACACTGTCCTTCTTCTTATTCTCCAAGATCCTGCCCGTGTTGTCATAATACTCATCTATGATCAGGTTTCCATCTGTGTCGTGGCCAGAGTCAAAGTTGGTGATCACACGGGTGGGGATCCCCAGGCATCTCATCACTGCAGAAAGAGAAAAAAATCTCCTGTGGGCTGTGGATTCAGGAATCCTATGGATTCCCTGGGCCCAGGGAAACCATTCATTTGGCACTTGCAGGACCGGTCAGGAGCTGTCTGGGGCTATGGGTTGGTGATGTTGCCAGCCTCTCTCCCCACCTTCCTGAGCTCCTCTCTGGGGCTCATGGAAGAGACTCCGGGCAAAGGTTGGGCTTCTGGTTGCTCAGACAAGCAATGCCAAGGCCAAGCAAGTTGTGAGTTCTCCTGCCTGCAAGCTGCAGGGGACAGGCACACCTCCTTTGGCAAGACTCAGTGGCCTGACGCGGTCTCACTTCTCTCTTGGCCATGAATCTCCATCTTCAAGCCACATAGCTAGAATTTTGGCTCAGACCATCAAATTCTTAGACAAAGAGGTCTGTGGCTTGGACTCCCCCTTCTCCGTGGGTGTATTGTCTTGGAAACTTATCAAGGAAAGCATCACAAAGGAAGGCAGAAAAGGATGGAAACTGTAACAAAAGCTTAGAAATTGAGAGTTTGTACATGATAGAGAAATTCTAGAAAGGAGGTACACCCTTGCTTTTATTCCTGAGGAGGTATCTCTTCCCTTTGCCAGCCAACTTCTTTGCTTTGTCCCCTGCCATATTTCCCCCCTTCTGCACTCTTTACGTACAGCAGTATCCCCCAGCCCGTCCTACCACCAGTGCTCCGGGGACCCTCCCCCTTCACGTCCAGCATTGGCAGGTCACCCCACTCAATAATAATATAATAAAAATAATTCAATAATAATAATACCCACCAGGCATGTTGCTAAGTTATCCTCAGGACAACTCTACATGGAAGCTGCTGTTATTATCCTCATGTTAAAAGATTAAGAATCAGAGGCTAAGAAAAGTTGGCAACCTTGACCAAAGTCACACAGCTGGGAAGTTGCAGACCTATCACTCAAATCCTAATTTCACTCTTGAGCTCATACTCAATTCTGAGCCCACATCCCAGTATTATGCACACCGTTCAGCGCTCTAGTATTTTCACCTTATTAAACACATCAGGCATTTTCCTATGTGATCAAATATTGGCACAAATCCTCTCCAGGTCAGGGTGGGGACACATCTCTGGATACAGCTTGGAACGGAGCGGAGAGAAGCCCACAGGGGAACCTGGAGCTCTCTTGGAGTGGCAGGTCTGTGCAGGGCTAAGGAATGAGGGCAGGGAGTGAGGAGAGCTGACAAGTGAATTGTGGGTGGAGGTAACACAGGACAGCCTCAGAGGGGAGGGTGAAGTTTGGAAAAGCTGCCACTAAAGGAACATGAGACAGGAGTAAGGCAAGAGCATTCAGGTGACTCAGGAGCATTGTGCTGAACACATTTATGCTAAGATTACAGTCAGGAGGGTGGGTACCACTTATGATAATAAGAGAAGGCGTGCCAAGGAGGGTGGGCAGGGAGAGCAGGAGGCAAGCGTCCGAAATGCACCCTGACTGATGAATTCACAAATAGCCACTTGGAGTGTCAGTGGTGGTATCTGCTCCTACTCAACAAGGCTGGATGGACCTTTCCCACCTGAACACAGGTCATTATTTTCACAGCGCTCTGAAGTTCCCTAGTAGACATTGCACACAGCTTGTAATGATTTGTTTGCTAGTTGGCCCTCCTGTGTAATATTCATCTTTACCATTATACAGCCATTAACAACACAGAGCCAGACCTGTTTTGCAGAAATTCGGTGCCTCGTTGCTAGATGGGTGAATGAGTGTCTCATGAATCCTTTGCCCGTTGCGGTGATTTCTGACTTGACACACAGCACTATTGTAATGACTGCTATGCTTTGGGGATCAAGCTTGACTGTCAGTCGAGCATAAGCTTTGAGTGGTAATGGATTTGCCCTGATCCATTCCCACTCGTTCCTCTTCTTGGCTTGTGAGAGGCCTGGGTTGGGGAACAACAGCTTGTCCCAGTGAGGCCACGGTGGGGCTAGAATGGTTGTTTACATGGGGAGTGAGGCCTCCCTTAGCTTCCACATCACACGAAGGGAGCTTAACAGTGCTCCGATCTGCAGGAAATCATAAACATCTATTTTTCCTGGGCTCCTGCTCCCTCTGTCCTGCTTACTCTGTCCTCCCACAAAGAGCTCGTCCTGTCTCATGGACTCATCTCTCCCTGTGTGCCCACAACTCCTGAATTTGAATCTTGAGCCTGTATGGAGACCTTGCTGCTTCTAAACACATCCCCAGTTGCATTTATCTTCCTTGCCAGCCGACGACATCATCATCATCATAGTGCCGGGCACGGTGCCAAGCACTGCACAGGCATGATCTCATTAAACCATCTCCACGACCCTGGGGTTATCCCCACTTTAAAGAGGAGAAACCTGAAGCTTAGAGAGGTTGAGGTCACATGGCAGAGCCAGGGCAGGATTTAAGCCCACGTTTCTCTGATCTCAAAGCATCCCCATGCTTCTAGCGACAAGCCACACCACTGCTGCAACTTCGCTAGGCATCCCGGCAACACCTCATTCTCAGTGCACCGTTCTCTGTGAAGTTTTCACTGCCTACTTCATGCCGCACTGGCCTCCCTTCCCATGCTCTCACCTGTGCTGCATATTTTATCACTGGATGGAACTCTCTGTGATCTCCTGCATTTGTCTTATCTTGTCAGCCAGATCACAAATCCACCCAGAGTAGGACTCATAGAGGACATTTTTCTTGCATTTCTTTGTTTCCAGCACAATGCTGGGCACAGAATAGATGCTCATTAAATTTATGTTGACATGAGTTGTCTTTAACCTGTGGATAAGATTTCTGCAGACTATCAGTCTTAGTGAGTCACAGTTTGACCTGAGATTCAGATGACTCTTATGGTGATAATTTTGTGGGAGCTGAGTCCTTCGTAAAAGGGAGGTGTGTGTGTTTGTGTGTGCACACACATGCACGCATACTGACACAGTGATGCTTAGACAAAGGTGGACAAGATATCTGAATCGGGAAAGGGCTGCAGGGTTCCCAAGGTAGACACCACACACCACACTCCCAGCATGAATTACTATGCCTCTTCTCTCAACCATTCAGCACTCATTCAGTGATATGTGTCAAGCCCCTGAGATTAACCAGGCAATGGGTTAGATGCATACACAAAAATGAAAGACATTCCTGTCCTCAAAGAGCACAGCTCATTTTCGACTGGTGAGGGACATCATCCCAGTGGTGTATTAAAACATGGAGTCCGTCTCAGGACTGACTGCAAAGCTTCTCACCAGTTCTTTTGCCTCCCCTGCTCTCCTCCTACCTCTTCATGTGGAAATGTGGCTCCCATTTAGAAGAGAATTCAGTGGAAAGTTAGAGTTCCATTTGTTGAAATTTGTTTGGTTAGCTTTGCTGCCACACTTCCATGGTTTATACTGAAGAATACAGTCAAAGTTTCAGCTAATAGAGTTGAAGTGATGGCATTTAAATGTGGTGATATTTAGCATCTTTTAATTTCTCCCTGGACACATAAGCTTCCAAATGGTAAAAGTATCTTCTCCTCCTATGCCTTTAATTGTTCCTTAAACTCAGATGGTTATATTGTCTTGACTTTTCAGATATACCTTCACAAGGTCATATTAGAACTGTTCTTGATTGTCTGCAATGACAATGAATCTTAAAACTGCTCTAAAAAATAATGTCTACTATAGGGGCACCTGGATGCCTCAGTCGGGTAAGAGTCCAACTCTTGATTTCAATGTAGGATATGATATCAGAGATCGAGCCCCACATCAGGCACCACACTGAGCGTAGAGCCTGCTTAAGATTCTCTCTCTCTCTCTCTCCCTCTCTGTCCCTCTCCCTGCTCACACATTCTGTCTCTCTCAAAAAAAAAAAAAAAAGTCTACTTAAATTACCAGGCATGTAAAGAAGCAGAAAAATATGACTCATAACCAGGAAAAATGTCAATCAATAGAACTAGATCTAGAAATGACAGAGATGATAGAATTAACTGACAAGGACCTTAAAACAGCTATTTTAAATATTATAAATATGCTCAAGAGGAGGTAAAGGAAAACATGAACATAAGAAGTGAAATGGAAGATAGAAAGATGATCCCATGGAACTTCTAAAGATGAAAAATACAATATATAAAACAAAGAAATTTTGGACAAAATATTGCACTATAACAATATACTCTTTCTTCTGTAAGAGCACTTTCAGAGACAATGTCACATATTAAATACATCAAAATGTTTCCCTATCATGGGGGGAGGTGAATAGGAACAGGTTATAAGACAAAAGTGAGGAAAAACCAATTAGTTAATTAATTTTTTAAAAAGGGGCCTGAAGCAGACCAGTTATAAATATTATGAAATGAGGAATATGATTAATTTAACCCTAAACACTCCATGGAACAAAGGAAGGAAATAATGTAAAAAAGGTGATGGAGATGATGGGGAACTGAATTTTAGGGGATGACTAGAAACACTTTGTGAGTGAGACCCAGCAAGACCTCTGGAGTCCAAGAGGCTGAGATTAAAACAGTATCAGTATGACCAAATATAATAGCTAACATTTATGTAAAGCTGATCATGTGCCAGGTATTTTTCTAGGTGCCAGACATATATTAATCCACAACCTGGTAAGGGAACATTCCACACAATCCAAGATGTCTCATAAATCAATGGAGAATAATAGATTTGTGTTTGAGCCAAAGGTTGAGGCAAAATAATGCACAAGGACGTTGGCTGAGGTTCCTTTTGTGAGAGCTAAAGGCTCAGTAAAAACAATGAGAATAAGAATTGTATTCAAATGGGTTAGGGTCGCTGTGTGGGTCTCTGTGGAAAGCTTGTTTGGGGGCCGGTGTACGTCCGCTAAGGCAGCACCTCAGGGACGACGGCGGAGGGAGATAATCGGAGCACCAACCTGCTGGCTGCAGAGACTGCAAGTCTGGAAGAGCAGCTGCAAGGATGGGGAGAAGTGATGCTGATGGCTGATAAAGTCCTCAGATGGGAAAGAGCCTGGTTTCCACCTGCCGTCATGGGTGTGGTTTCTTTGGTGTTTCTGACTATCTACTATCTAGATCCATCTGTTCTGTCCGGTGTTTCCTGTTTTGTTATGTTTTTGTGCTTGGCTGACTACCTTGTTCCCATTCTAGCTCCTAGAATTTTTGGCTCCAATAAATGGACCACTGAGCAACAGCAAAGATTCCATGAAATTTGTAGCAATCTGGTAAAAACTCGACGCAGAGCTGTGGGCTGGTGGAAACGCCTCTTTACACTAAAGGAAGAAAAGCCTAAAATGTACTTCATGACCATGATCGTTTCTCTTGCTGCGGTTGCTTGGGTGGGACAGCAAGTCCACAACCTGCTGCTCACCTACCTGATAGTGACTTTCTTACTGTTGCTTCCTGGATTAAACCAGCATGGAATCATTTTGAAGTACATTGGAATGGCCAAAAGGGAGATAAATAAGCTCCTCAAACAAAAAGAAAAGAAAAATGAATAATGCATCTGCTTTATTCAGTGTAATGAATGGCATATACATTGTCCTTGGGAACAGTTTCTGTTATGCTGTCTGGATACTAAAATGTTACAGAAGTAGCTCTTTGCTCTCCCTCTTTTGCCCTTAGTGCACAGAAATTCAGACTTGCCAAGTAAGGCTTTATGCATAGTGTCTTCATGTGAAGTGTAGCTGGATGCATTCTCATCAGTTGGCCTATATGGACAACTCATTCGTGAGTACGACTTGTTTTGATTTTTCTCCACCCAGGTTAATTGCATTCTTACTTTTAGGCAACTTCCTTTAAAATAATATAGTGGTGAACTTCACCTTTTAGTACAGTTAACTGTGACTTTGGATAATTAATTGTTCCAGTTGATCTTTGCTTTAGCTAGATACAAGTTAGTGGTCTGTGGCTACAGGAAGCTGGTTCTACTGTCTGCTTCCACAGTCTGCTTAAACTGCCTGGCTTCATGAATACAGAGACCAAGTTGACCACTTCCAATGAAGAGACCAATTAAGATTCATTCCTCATGCTGTTTCTATACAATGGGAGAAGAATCCTCTGGAATAAAATGAAACCAATTCCATGCCCTAGTATGTACTGGTTTCTGCCTTGTGAAAAACTTAGTAATTTGTAAGAAACATTGATCTTTCCTCCCAAATGGGGAATATGACAGGCTTTGAGCTCGTCTCTCATTGCTCTTAGACTTCAAGTTAGTAGATCCTTAGAGGCTTTTTAACAGCAGGCTTCCAGAAGTTTGTGTTTAGGATTTTTCGCATATTTTTAATTTCAGGTTTTCAGCCGACTGAAACTAAAGTACATAATAGGCTAAGACTCAGGTCTATGACCTTCACTCCAACACCAGCCAATAAAGGACAGAAGTCTTCCTATACTTAGTCAAGAGTCATTTCAGTAGAAAATAATCTTAGCCTACTAATTTTTCGAGACCAGACTAAGCCTTTGAAGGTAAGCCTCAAGATTCTTATTTGAAGGTAATTGCTGGCTGCTTTGGCCCCCAGAGATTTGGCACAGGAGGTGGTGTTTATGCTGGCATCTGACTTTTTTCCTAGATCTCTCTCTCTGAAGAGTGCAAGGGCTGCTGGGGAGAGCAGACTTTTGGCGACGATAGGTGGCCTCTGGTCTACAGAGATTTTGTAACTGCTTGGAAAGTGTCTTAGAATCATTCTCTCTGAAAATATTTGCAAATGACAGATCAGATAAAGGGCTAGTATCCAAAATCTATAAAGAACTTATCCAACTCAACACCCAAAGAACAAATAATCCAATCAAGAAATGGGCAGAAGACATGAACAGACATTTTTCCATAGAAGACATCCAAATGGCCAACAGACACATGAAAAAGTGCTCAACATCGCTCGGCATCAGGGAAATCCAAATCAAAACCTCAATGAGATACCACCTCACACCCGTCAGAATGGCTAAAATCAACAAGTCAGGGAACGACAGATGTTGGCGGGGATGTGGAGAAAGGGGAACCCTCCTACACTTGGTGGGAATGCAAGCTGGTGCAACCACTCTGGAAAACTGTATGGAGGTTCCTCAAACAGTTGAAATTAGAGCTACCATTCGATCCAGCAATTGCACTACTGGGTATTTACCCCAAAGATACAAATGTAGGGACCCGAAGGGGTACGTGCACCCCAATGTTTATAGCAGCAATGTCCACAATAGCGAAACTGTGGAAAGAGCCAAGATGTCCATCGACAGATGAATGGATAAAGAAGATGTGGTATATATACACAATGGAATATTATGCAGCCATCAAAAGGAATGAGATCTTGCCATTTGCAACGACATGGATGGAACTGGAGGGTGTTATGCTGAGTGAAATAAGTCAATCAGAGAAAGACATGTATCATATGACCTCACTGATATGAGGAATTCTTAATATCAGGAACAAACTGAGGGTTGCTGGAGTGGTCGGGGGTGGGAGGGATGGGGTGGCTGGGTGATAGACATTGGGGAGGGTATGTGCTACGGTGAGCGCTGTGAATTGTGTAAGACTGTTGAATCACAGATCTGTACTTCTGAAACAAATAATGCAACATATTTTAAGAAAAAAGAAAAAGAAGAAGATAGCAGGAGAGGAAGAATGAAGGGGAGTAAGTCAGAGGGGGAGACGAACCAGGAGAGATGATGGACTCTGAAAAACAAACTGAGGTTTCTAGAGGGGAGGAGGGTAGGGGGATGGGTTAGCCTGGTGATGGGTATTAAAGAGGGCACATTCTGCATGGAGCACTGGGTGTTATGAACAAACAATGAATCATGGAACACTACACCAAAACAAATGATGTAATATATGGTGATTAACATAACAATAAAAAATTTAAAAAAAAAGAATCATTCTCCCTCTCAGTAGCTAGAAATTTAGAATAGCTGAAACCTGTAGGCATGAACCTCTGAGGGCCGAGAATGTGACATTTGGGAACAGTTCTTAAACTCTGATTAACTAGCTGTAATATAGTTTTGTGAATTTACTGCACTGATGCTGGACCTTGTGGTATATCTGTCCCTAATAAGTGTTTTCTCCCCTTCAATATTACTGTTAACAGTGGCACCCATTGTAGCATATGTTTGATTTTTTTTTAATGTTTCCTATGAAAACTACAAACTACCTTAATTTTTACATGTGTTTCCTCATTGTAGATAAGCCTATCTTGTTATCTGGATTTTTTTGTGTATATGTGTTCTACCAATTAACTCTTTGCAGTTTTAATCTTGTATTATTTCTTCTACTTTGTTTTGTGTAAAAGGGGGAAAATAAAAAAGCTGGAATCCCCCCCAAAAAAAGAGTTGTATTCAAATGAAGATAATGAGGTACTTTATAGAGGCCACTACACAACTGAGTGAGAGACAGTCTTAGATAGGCATCTAGCCCAGGTGTGTTCAAAAAAGTTTTAAGCAGAGGATCATTGCGAGGCAAGGCATAAGAGGGGATCCAATATACAAAAGATATACACATGGGGTAGTTTTGGGTGAAGGGAGGAGGGCCCAGGCCCGAGCAACACAGCCTCCTCATTTCCCACCACCCTTCCCACCATGGCTCCTGGGCCCAGGTGCTACAGAGGAGGGGATCATGCCCCATAGACCTGCTCACAGTAAACGTTCATGTCTTTCAAGTCATTGCTGCCCCCGTCCCCACCCCATGCAGCTGTGGGCAGGAACAGACCAGGCACCTTCCTAGGATGTCTGACTTTAAAACAAAAACAAAACCCCAACTTTATTGAGCTATAATTCACATACCATAAAATTCACCCTTGTAAAGTGTACAATTAAGGAGTTCCGGTCCAAGATGGCGATGTAGGAAGACCCTGAACTCAGCTCCTCCAGACATGCCAAATCTACACCTATTTATAGAGCAATTCCTCTGAAGAAGAACTGAGGGCTGACTGAGCAGCTTCTGCACAACAAAAGATAGACCACATGGAGAGTGGCAAGAGAGAGGGAGACATGGTGATGAAGTTAACACCCACCCCAGCTCTGGGAACCGCAGTGAGGAGGGATAGTACTGGGGCACTGTGAGTTAGTCCGCCCTGGGACACGGAAAAAAAAGTGCAGTTTAAAAGGGCAAAGAGAACATAATAAAAATAAATACATAAATAAAAGGGCAAGGAGAGTGTAAAGGAACCAGCCTTAGAACCGTGACAAATGGCCAGTGGAGGGGGGGGACCTGCTGGAACTCTCTCCAGGTTCCCGGTCACAGGGAGTGGATGGCCAGAACAGGAAAAGCCTGATGACTAAGAGCTGTGGGTGGCCAGCCCAGCCAGAGATTTGTCTGAAATTCCCAAAATAACAGCCAACTAAATGAATGTCAAAGAAAAAGCCCGTTCAAAAATTATAAGTGTATCTTTGATGCATGCAAATTTTCCTTTTGGTGATTTTTCTCGAGGAAGTTGAAGTTAATATGTTGATGTTTAAAAAGGCCGTTCTGAACAGAGGCAGTGCTGCAGAGGGGAGAATGCATTTCTGAGTCAGACAAGAGTCACTTGGTCACTTCAAGCCTCAGTTTTCTCATCTGTAAGATGATGGTAATGATATCTACTTTGCAGGTGGTCATGAGTGAAAGTGCCCAGCATGTGCCTGAAGCCCAGAGGATGCTGGGTAAATGGCAGCTGCTGGTGAGGTTTATCCGTCAGTACAGCCTAGTGTTCACAGCCTGCCACACCTGGGACTGGCCCTGCTGCTCAGTTTCCTCGTCTGCAAAGTGAAGTTGATGATGATAGACCCTACTTCCCAAGGTCATTTGGGGGGATCAAACGAGGTGACCCTAGCTGTACTTACTAAACATTCACTGTAAGCCAGAAACTATTTATTCTTAGCCCTCTCCATATATGAATTCCCTCAATACTTCCAATAACCCTACGAGGTAGGTACTATTACTTCCTCCATTATAAGTCTGGGGCACAAGCTAAGTGACTTGCCCAAGGCTATTCAGCCAACTGATGGTAGGGCTGGCGCTTGAACCCAAGCAGCCTACCTCCAGAGTCCACATGCCTCACCATTGTTCTAGGTTGTCAAGAGTTTAGCCCAGTGCCTGGCACAAAAGAGGTCCCCAGTAAATGACAGCTATTGTGAGTGTGTGCTTTGACAGCTATATGGAGCTGAGGAATTTGATAATAAATAAATGTGCTTTGACAGCTATATGGAGCTAAGGAATTTGATAAATCCTTAACTTTTAGTGGAGGAAAAAGGCTGGGTCTTTCCCGTCTTTGTATCCAAGAGTACTTAAAAGCACACTGCCTAGCGAGAATAAAGACTCAATAAGTGTGGCTGGATGAATAAATGAGTTTTTCAAACAGATATATTTATTAATATACACAATGCTGGCCCTTTTGGGGAAGGCTGCTGCTGCCTGAGCTACAGGTGGATCAAGCCACATTTGACCCACTTTGCCCAACCCTTTGCTTCCCAGGTCACTAAGGGGCCATGATTCTCAAAAACATTTTAATTGGCCTGCTCTCCTTGCATAATCTCCATTCACTGGCTGCACCCCTCTCATCATCCAGTTCCAGACAACCACACCCAAAACCCTGGTCCTCTCCCTCTCCACACACACACCCAGCCCATTAGTTTCTAGGTTTTTCCATGCAGAGGAAAGTTCCCTCTCTATCATGCACAAGAATGATCCATTCTCTGCCTGCCAGTCCTGTGCCTGCTCCCTGGATGACTCAGACATCCCAGTTCACCCATGTCTCTGTGGCTCTGAACATCAAAGCTCTTGAATTCCTGGTTTCCTATCCCTGGGCAGTCAAAGCCTCCAAATCAAGGCGAGGCTCTGCAGCTGCAGAGGAGGAAGAGCTCAGGACTTCTTCCTCATCAACCCATGTGAAGTCATTCTCTGGGGGTGTTGACAGAAACCTCCATGTACCCTTGGCCAGGGGCCTGGTGCTCACTCCTCAGCAGCTGGAGCGGGGGAGGTCCCTAGGCTTCCTCCAAGAGCCCAGAGATGGGCTTAGCACACATGTGCACACAGACTGCACCAGGTTTTGCCATACAGGGAATTTTGGTGTTGTTGTTGTTTTTCAAGATTGATTCATTTATTTCAGAGAGAGACAGAACACAGTG